CCAAATCACAATAAAGAAAAATAAAAATATTACATTGATTCTGTTATCTTTAAAATCACTGTTAACTTACTCTTAATATAGAGTAATGTAAGTCATGAAGTAGAAAAAAATCTCAATCACCTTTTTTCTCTTTCTCTCTGAACCTCTTTAAATGTTCCTATTCTATTCCTTAATATGTTCTTAAGCCAAAGGTATTTTATAGAGTGAAAAGATATAATGGGCTCTACTGTCAAATAAAATGGAGAAGAATTTGATTCTTGCTTTGACGCTTAATTTAGAAGCCATGCACATGGATGATGTCAATTTGACTTTGTTTTTAATTCACTAAGACCTTCCTTCCTCAAGGCCTAAAAAAAACCTGTATATTGGATTTCTCCTTTTTGCTTTATTACCTACTCACCTCACAATCTGAAAATTGATTGCTAGATATAGCTCAGACAGCTACCAAGTGGTAAAATGGGTAACTGTAGGATTCCTACTGTTTTAAGTTTTTCTAACCCCATTAAAGTGTATAAGAACAGGAATGTCACTTTGGAGATTAAGGTGCACTGATCCAAGCCCCCATGGTATTTTCAATGGCTTCATATACATGTGAGAGCTGGACAGCGAATACAGAATATTGTAGAAGAATTGATGCTTTTGAATTGTGGTGTTGGCAAGGAATATTGCAGGTACCAAGGACTGCTAGAAAAGGAACCAATTTGTCTTGGAGGAAGCACAATCAGAATGCTCTTTAGAAGTGAGAATGGACAGACTTTGTCTCTCATAATGTGGTTATACTGTCAGAAGGGACCAGTCCCTGAAGAAGGACATCATGCTGAGTAAAGTGGAGGGTCAGTGAAAAAGGGGAAGACCCTCAACAAGATGGAGTGACACAGTGGCTGCAACGATGGGCTCAAGCATGGCGAGGACTCTAAGGATGGCACAGGACCTGGCAGTGTTTTGTTCTGTTGTACACAGGGTGTCTGTGAATCAGAGCCAACTCAGCAACACCTAAAAACAACAGCAACAACCTCATTATAAGATATAGATATAGATATATGGCAAAGCATGTCTTTAGTTCAAAAAAACCAGCTGCATAACTATAGAATGATGAAAAGCTAACTTAACAGTAGTTCCAACAAAGGTCTACATGCTTGACTAGGGAGTCTCTGGGTGGTACAAAGAGTTAAGCACTTGACCACTTGACGCTTTGAACCCACCCAGAAGCATCTCAGAAGACAGGCCCTGTAATCTGCTTCTGAAAGGTCATATCCTTGAAAACCCTACAAAGCAGTTCTACTCTGCACACATGGAGTTGTTATGTGTCAGAACTGACTCAACGACAACTAACAATAATAACAGATGTGGTACTGGTATATTCAGGGTAACCCAATATCATGACATGGCCGAGGAAAAGGCACTATCATGCGGGGTAAGATTATTAGAAGCAGAGGCTCAAGATGATGGTGAAAAAGTCTTATGAAGCTCAGCATTCATCATCACCTTTCTGGAAGAAATGAGGCACACAACAATAAAAGGGAGACTGAAAAACAGGAGCGTATCCAAAGGAGGGCTACAGGAAAAACAAGATAGAGAGACCATACAATCTGAGGACAGGCTAAAGGAACTCAAACGCACAGTTTGGAAAAAGGAAAACTAGACGGAGCATGTGGCTATTGTCAAGGGCTCGTCTAGGAAACAGGGACTGGACTTTTTCTCATCACTTCAGAAAAAGGAATTAGAATCAACAGTTGGTTGCAAACATTTATGGCTAGAAAAGCCATACCAGGTAATTTACTACAGTGCAATGTAGAACAGGTTTCAGCAGAAATTCTAGACTAAGACAAACTAGGAAGAAAGGCTTGGCAATCTACTTCGGAAAATCAGCCAATGAAAATCCTATGTGGCACAATGGTTCTATCCACAACTGGGGACGGTGCAGGACTGGGCAGCATTTTGTTCCATGTGCATGGGGTCGCCATCAGTCAGAGGCAAACTGGACAGCAGCTAACCACAAGTAATACACACCGCACTTTTTGTATATGATTTCAAATGGTACACACATTTATTTTACATATTTAAATATTTTTGTATATTTAAATAGTACACACATTCATTTCATATATACATTTATTTTATACATGTATTTATATGTACATATATTTATATATGGGAGCTCTGGTAGCATAGTGGCTAAAGACACTTGCCTGCTAACCAGACGGCTGGCGGTTCAAACCCACCAGCCACTCCTCGGAAGGAAGGTTGGGCAATCCTACTTCCGTAGTGATACTGCCTTGGAAACCCAAGGAGGGGTCACTATGAGTCAGGGCCGACTCGACGGCACATAACATAATAACATATTTATATATGTATTTCAATGTACATCAAAAACAAATCAATGTAAGTATTAAACTAGCCATCAAGCCTGTGGTTTCACCAATACACCTACCCTCTATTTATCGACTATTTCATTATCCGACCTTTCACAGTTATGACAACAGTAAAACATCAACTATGTGACTATTTTATGCATTAACGATGTACATCTGGCAGTAACAAATGCCGAAGTACAAAGTGAGAATAACATTGGCTGTGAAGATTAAGGTATGTCTCAACTTAACTAAGCCATGATTCTCAGTGGTTTGGCAATTATGTAATGATGTAATTTGGCATTATGTAATGCTGTAATCGTCTTCCATTTTGTCAGCTGATATGTTCGTCCTCCATTTTCCCATAACATTGATTTTTGCATAACAACCTGATCTTTGGAACCTTACCATTTGATAAGTGAGGACCGAGTGTAGTATTGTTTTAGGACCGCAGTAAGCTAGGCGCACAGTGGGCAAATCCTATCTTCATTGTTAACTGCATGGTAAGAAGCAGCATGACTTCAATTCCCAAAGTGTGGAAATGGATCCAGTCCTCACCTTCCCACTTCTTTCTCACTGCCAGCCATTCACACGGCATACTCTCTCTCCAACCCTAACCATCCAGAGCTGAGTCAAAGCTCTCAAGTTAGATGGACTCCATCTTTCCAACCAGCTGCCCATATTTCTGGGACCCTAGCCATGCAGAGCCAAATCAGAGCTCACACATTATTAGAAGGACAGCTTCCTTTACACTGCCAAACAGGAAGGCACCAGTCTCTGCTGGCTCTCACTGCCCCTGTGGGCTCATTAATTTGCTGGAATAATTCACAGAATCTCACGAACAGCATACCACAATTACAGCTACAACTTTATTACAACCAAAAAGGATGCAAATGAAGAGACACACAAGGTGAAGTCTGTGAGGGGTCACAACATGAAGCTTCCATATCCCAAAGAGGGACACGCCATACTCTCCCACGCACGGCAACCAACCAGGAAGCTCATTTGAGCTTTAGGGCTCGAAGAGCTCCTCTCAGCTTCACCATGTGGCCATGATAGATTGCATTAAGCCTCATGAGGTACAGTTAGCAATGGCCCCCAGGTGGTCCCTCTGGATATGGTCAGGTCCTATTCATTAGCATCATGTGTCAGAACACCTTGAAAAAATCAAGAACAAAAGCAAAATTGCTTTCTGCAAGGTGATCCAAACCTCACACAGATAGATAGAGACCCACATTGGGTTTCCAAGACTGAAAATCTTCACTCAAGTAGAGTGCCTCATCTTCCTCCTGTGGCACAAATGGTGGGTTTAAACCACTACTAACCTTCTGGTTGACAGCCAAATGCCTTACCCACTATGCCACCAGAGCTCCTTCACACAGATAAAGTAGCAATTAAAGTTGATGATTTAGAACAAAACAATAATTATAATACAAACAGTTTAAAGAGATGGCAAAAATCATTGCAGATACTGTAAGAACATCTGCACTCTGGTCATGCTGCTCTATGGGGTTTCTAGCATGGAACATGCTCCTCCTTTACTAAAGCCGTCCTGTCAGTCAGTGATTCTGGAAAACCTGGTAAACTATAACTACAATTATTCAAACGGCTTTCACAATAAACTAGAGGAATATAATTATCCAGAACTTTCAGTAACAATCTTAGAAATGCTGACATTTAATAGCTACAGCAAAAAAATGTCTGGAATGCTCAGATGATTAACCTTAATCAAAAGACTAATATTCTTGCATAATGTTGTTGTATGCTACAAAGTCGACTCTAACAAACAGTGACCCGACAGGATAGAGTAGAACTGTCCAGCAGAGTTTCCAAGGCTATGTAATCTTTACAGAACAGATGATCAGGTCTTTTCTTCCACGGAACAGCTGATGGGTCCAACTGCCAAGCCTGTGCCATCAGGGCTCCTTTTCTTGCATTTAATAAGCATTTACTAAAGGCTTTCTATGGGCCAGGACTCATAGTAGACATAAACTTGAAAGCAAATTTGCAAGTTTTCATTGGAAGGATCTGCTAGGTTGAGGAAAAGTATTAAAATATATAAGGTAAAACACTAAGAAAGACTGTCTATACCATTAATGTTCATAAAAAAATAATATATGTATATGTTTTAATATAAGTGAAGCTCAAACACATACGTGCAAAAATCATCTAGACATTATCAACCAGATTTAGATTTAAAATCTGCCTCATATTCAGTCCTTAATGCAGTTTCTCTAATGTGCTCTGAAAATTCTCAGGAGTTCTGCTGAAACCCTAAAGACAATCTTGTGATGTTCTTGTAAAATGCCCACCTACCTCTACCGGAAGGCACTGTAAGGCAGGCATAATCTTACAGTATCAAGAAAGTGATGGGCCTCTCTGGAGGAAAAGATGCCACAATGTACAACTGGAGACGTTCTTAATGACTAACGAGAACCCTGACCTTTTCTCTTCTTTCCCAGCTCCTTAGGCCAAAAAGCACTTTGTTTGAATAATCAAATAGTAAGTGACACAGAACATGTACAAATACCCTAAAGAAACTAACTAGTTTAAACTCTTGTCCCCTGAAAACATGTCCCCATCTCCAAATGGATTTTATCCAAAGTTTAAGAAAGGAAAACAACCAGCCCAGAAATATTCCCTTCCTACCTCCTGGATGTGTTCTTTGTAGACCTGCAGTGGCCCAGTGGCTTTGGCGGTGTCCCAGAGCTGCAGGGAGCCATCACCACTGCAGGTGACCAGGACATGTTCATTGTTCTCACTCCAGGTTACGTCAAACAAACCATCATTCCAGTCAAAGCTAAACCAGGAAAATAAAAAAAAATTTATTATTATATATATATATATACATCTATAGTGATACTGCCTTGGGAATCCAAGGAGGGGTCACTATGAGTTGGGGCTGACTCGACGGCAGTGAGAGTTTTGTTTATATATACGTACACACACATACATATTTATGTTAGTATCTGACAAAGGGTAATTATCATCATTTTATAGCTCATCAATTTTTCCCAATTATAAATATGACACTGAGGGTATGCCACCACACCTGGACGTTCACTGGTTTTTATGACTTATAGGATGAGCCAGCAAGGACTTGAAAATACTAATGGAGACCAATAATTTCAACTTTTCCCACAAATCTTTCAGCTGAGCTATGAGCAGGTAGTTATTTTCTGACGGGATTTCCTTTCCATTTTTTACCTTTACCTAACACTGATAAAGGTGCTAGTGAGTCCAACAGTCACACAGACAAAATAGGTACAGACAAAAGGAAAAGAGAGGTTGGATGTGCTGCAAAATGGTCAACTGGTGCCTCAAGGAGAAAGGCAAAATTACACTGAGAAGACAGCAAAGCAGTCAGTGTCACACAGTACACTAACTAGTTCACATTTTTATTAGTTTCAAATTTTGTATTTAA